TTTAGTTCTCTGATAGCAAGCCTACAATATTTATTAAATTGTTTTTTAATCAATGAGCTTCCATTTCAGGTGACTGTTTCTAAGGATGACACTGTTATTCTTGATGGAGCTGGAGACAAGAAGAACATTGAGGAGAGAGCAGATCAGGTTCATGCAATATCAATTTAATGTGCTGTGACTTGTTAATTGCATTGTATCTTATTTATATATCATGACAACTTACATGAATATTGTGTTACAGATTAGATCTGCAATTGAGCAAAGTACTTCTGATTATGACAAGGAAAAGCTGCAAGAGCGGCTGGCAAAGCTTTCTGGAGGTGTTGCGGTTCTAAAGGTGAGGGTCATGCTCCTCTTGCAAATTCTAGAGAGAACTATAGCTCGTTGTTTTATTTCCTATTTTGCAGTTAGCATTACCTATTCTGATAAATATGCTATAAAGCATTAATGTTATCTCAGAATCTCAGACTAGCATTTCGCAGTACTATATTGACTGAAAATGAGTGAGACTGGCTATATTAAGAGTTGCTTAGTTGACATAAAAATGCAACGATATTGCTCCATTAAGTTTTATACTTCTCTGTCCCAAAATAAGTGTAGTTGATTTAGTACAAAATCAGCTACGCTTATTTTGGGATGGAGGGAGTATATTCTATGTCTTCCTCTGCTTGAGGATGCTATTGAATTGGTGAAGGACTGTTAATATAGTAATAGGTGATTCCTTTCATGCTACTACATCTTTTCTATTGTTTTGACCCATCTACTGTTACCTGTCCTATAGATAGGAGGAGCCAGTGAAGCTGAAGTTAGCGAGAAGAAGGACAGAGTTACAGACGCACTTAATGCCACTAAAGCTGCTGTTGAAGAGGGTATCGTGCCAGGTACTGCACCATGTACATTCTGAATATGGCTTGTTTTGAATAGTTTTTGGTCTAGAAAAAATTGATATCCTGCTTTTGGTGTTCATTACTCCTGTCTAGTTTGTATGTTAAGCATCACTGTCCTGAGAATATGGTTCAACTTTAATGGTTATGCAGGAGGTGGTGTTGCCCTTCTATATGCGTCAAAGGCTCTGGATAAATTGCAGACTGCAAACTTTGACCAGAAGATCGGTGTGCAGATCATTCAGAACGCTTTGAAGGTTGGGGAGAAAATAATTATCTGTTTTGTCGTGATTTCTTTTGCATGTGTACTGATTTCTGAAATACCTCGCAGACACCAGTGTACACCATCGCTTGCAATGCAGGCGTAGAAGGGGCGGTTGTTGTTGGCAAGCTTTTGGAGCAAGAGAACAGTGATCTTGGATATGACGCAGCTAAAGGTATGATGTCCTTGACCATTTGCTTGATCTTGTCCTATTTTAAACAAGCCGAGTCATGTTCCTGATGCCGTAGTTATCTCTGTATCTAGGTGAATATGTGGACATGGTGAAGGTCGGTATCATTGACCCACTGAAGGTGATCAGAACTGCCTTGGTGGATGCTGCTAGGTACTTACTGGCTACAACCTCCTTCTTTTTCTTGTCGACGAACAAGGATCAGATGTTAATAAGAACAATATTTGATGAGCACCAGCACTAACGTTTTGCCTTGTTTTGTTGCAGTGTGTCGTCTCTGATGACCACAACAGAGGCCATCATCGTGGAGGTTCCCAAAGAGGAGAAAGAGGCACCTGCAATGGGCGGCATGGGTGGAATGGATTACTAAGCCATGAACACGCACGATATATGAAGCAAACTGGAACATATTGATTAGGGGATATTTTTGGGTTTAGTCCCATCTTTGATGTAATTTTATTGTCGATGGGTTGACAGTTTTGATCGTGCGGACGATGTTCCAAACGGAGCCAGTGTTGGGACGAATAAAGAGTAGTCGTCGAGAGCTGAAACACTTTTATCGGAACTGATTAGTGACACCTGCTGAATGCCAATTGATGAAGGGTTGCGCATTTTGAAGTTGTTTTTCAATTCACTTTCTTCTCGTCTATAATACGACTCTTATCGTCCCTTGTTCTGCACGTTTCATTGTAAAATAATTTAGTCTTTGTCCGGTCGTTGGAGCGAGTCGGTTTAGGTTTGAGTAGCGACCAAGTTTCCGTTTCCGTGTCCGATAGCGTTTGACAGTGGTAAAATATAAGCCCGGGGCTCCCCTCCTCGCCTTGAGAGATATTGAGAGATGGCGGGGTCAGAGCAGCAGCAGAGGGAGCTGGTGCTGTTCGACACGAGGACGAAGAAGGCGGAGATGTTCCGGCCGCTGGTGGAGGGCAAAGTGAGCATGTACGTCTGCGGCGTGACGCCCTACGACTTCAGCCACGTTGGCCACGCCCGCGCTTACGTCGCCTTTGACGTCCTCTACAGGTACGTGTGCCCTGCCGCCCGCTTATTAGGCTGGTTGTAATGGGTAGTATCATAAGTCAGTATCATACATATGATACTAGTGTATGATACTACCTTTCTAATGCATAGTATCATATGGTAGTATCATAGATGACTTTATTTATTGCCATGCATGACACATACTAGTGTAGCATTTATTATGATACGGGATCATGATATGATACTCAACCCTCTCTTACTTCATTTAATTCTATGCCACTTCATCAAAGTTGCCTAGTTGGCATGCATGATACTAGCTATGATACTCCCATTACAATCAGCCTTACATCCACTGTTAATTTATTGTCTGTTTCGTCTCTTTTCTTCAGGTTTTTCAAGCGGGTTTTCTGTCAAGTTTTTATTCTCTTTTTATTTGCTGTTTTTAAATTCCAAATTCATCAAATGTTTATTTCCCATACTTCTAACCAGGCTCCTCTATTCTTGTGTTGCATTTTTAACCCAATAATAACAAAGGTAGTGTATCATGTGTTATTTGATACTAGACTAGATGACACCCTGCACATTGGTGCAAGAATTATTCGTGATATATCTCAATGAGATTTAGTTACACGGACATCAATATTTGGATTTGGATTGATAACATAAGCCTAAAACTGAAATACATATAATTATGAAGCATAATATAATTAAACATTTGAGCCTGGTGGGCCTTTTCCCATGCATAATTGCAATGATGAGATAAATGTGTCAGTGAGATCAACTACTTAGTTATACAATATATGATTAGTACTTGTTTTAGTACATGCCTTTTGTTTTGGTTAATTTTGTTAATTGTCAAGACTTCTAAGGGTTAAATTTATACACTCAGTTTTCTTTCTTTTTCAACAAGATGCGGTGTTATCTTCGATAGTTGAACCTGGATCCTTGCTCTAAACTTCTCATCATACGCTTTTAGCAACGCTTCATATGGTCTTTGCTTTGAGGGAATGGTACATACGAGTTTGTTATGTCGTTGCACTTATCATCTTAATTTATTTTCATTCAGGTACCTAAAGTACTTGGGGTACGAGGTTGAGTACGTGCGCAACTTCACTGATATCGATGACAAGGTAATAAATCATTGATAAATTTTTGAGAAAAGACTTAAGTTGTTGAGTAAAATAATAAGAACTGTCTAATGGAAACTTTTGGTCATGTTGGATGGATGTACGCTATACCTGAAAATAATATACACTGTACTTAGCTTGTTCTCTAGGAATTCCTGTACTGTTATGCAGTCAAGTGGAAACTGATGTCTTTGTATTTGCCTAATTCCCTGTTTTGTTATAATGGAGTCCATATTCTATCTTCTGTTTATCGTCCATCAAATCATTTCTTGAAATTTAGGTAACTTAGGTTTTAATGGGTTTCAAACTCACGTCTGAACTATATTCTGAAATGCATCCTACTGAAAGTCATTTTCAGTATCTTGGGTGCGTGCAATACGAGATAGTCAATTCTGAACTGCTGTTTTTCGCATGCAGATTATTAGACGAGCAAATGAAGCTGGTGAAACGGCAACTAGTTTGAGTAGTCGGTTCATCGATGAGTTCCTGCGTGACATGGTTGAACTTCAGTGCTTGCCTCCTACTCGCGAGCCACGTGTGACAGAGCACATTAAGCAGATAATAGATTTGATAACCAAGGTACTCAGCTACATTTCCTCCAAAAAAAAAAAAACTGTGCAACTACAATAAGGGAAAGTAAAAATCAATATAGAAGGATAACTGATCAATTTGCTTATCTGTGCTTGTCATCCATTCCATGAAATCAAACCTTCAGCAGTTGCTTGTTTAACATCCCCATTGCGCAAGAGGGCATAAAATCTAAGTTGTTTAGTTTTACCGTTTCATAATTCATACCATTTGGCTTGACATTAACAACTATCTTGGTACTTGTATATGCAAATGACAGATAGAGGAAAAAGGGAAAGCCTATACTATTGAAGGAGACGGCGTATACTTCTCAGTTGATAATTTCCCTGAATATCTTAGTCTGTCTGGAAGGAGCTTAGACCATAATCTTCCGGGGTCACGAGTCGCTGTCGATACAAGAAAGCGCAATCCTGCAGACTTTGCATTATGGAAGGTGCTAACTATTTTACCCTTTTTTTTTTACTTTGTGGGTTTTTTTAATTGTTGCCTTTAGTCAAGTGCTTAATTATCCTCCACATTTTCTGTTCAGTCTGCTAAGGAGGGTGAGCCATTCTGGGAAAGCCCTTGGGGCCGTGGGAGACCAGGATGGCATATTGAGTGCAGTGCAATGAGCGGGCATTATTTAGGCCATGCGTTTGATATTCATGGCGGAGGAAAAGATTTGATCTTTCCACATCATGAGAACGAGCTCGCGCAAAGCAGAGCAGCGAATCCTGAGAGCGAGGTCAAATGCTGGATGCATAATGGCTTTGTCAACAACAATGGCCAGAAGATGGCAAAAGCAGACAAAAACTTCTTCACTATCAGAGATGTAAGGGTCTTTTTTTCTGTTAGCAGTATACTTTCCAGTTAAATATATATCATTTGTTTGTAGCTGAGGCTGACCAATTTGTTCTTGTCGCTGTAGGTTATCACTCTGTACCATCCAATGGCTCTCAGGCTATTCCTGATGCGAACACACTACAGGTCCGATGTTAACCACTCTGATGCAGGCCTTGAGTTTGCATCTGGCCGTGTGTACTATATTTATCAGGTACTTAATGTCAGGATGCTCCCTACTTTTATCGAGTTATATAGATTTTAAATGTCGTGTTGTAATTCCTTGAACTAATTATTTTACCCAGACTGTACAAGACTCTGAAAATAGTCATATCCTTGTACCATGATGACAAGTTGGATGTCCCAGTACCAGCAGGCGACCGGAAGGTGGTTGAGGACAACCACGAAAGTTTCCTGAGACACATGTCGAACGATCTTCACACGACAGGTGCCCTCGATGAGCTTATGAAGCCAGTGAGAGCAATGAACAACAACTTGAGTGATCTGAAGGTATTTACGCTGCATCTTGAGTTTTGCAGTTGATGAACATTGAACTGTGCTACTGGGAAAGTGCGAATGAAAGGAAAGTAACTCATCTGATAGTGCTGTAAAAAAAAAACCCTCATCTAACAGTGTGTTGTGTTGTGTTGCCAGAAATTGCAGCAGAAACTGGAGCAGCAGCAGAAGAAAGAGCCAGAGAAGAAGCAGCAGCAGCAGAAAAAGAAACAGCCCGAGGAGAAACAGCAGGAACATTATGTACAAGCTCTGGTTGCCTTGCACGGCGAAGTCACGAATAAACTGTCTATTCTTGGCTTGATGCCGTCATCCCCCTTGGCTGAGGTAAATTTAGCAGTCTTGATATTATTTATTTATTTATTATTGCCACCACTCTTTTCTGGGGGGTCGAAGATATATATGTTCATTTTTTTTGGTTCTGAGAGCTAACAAAAATGGTCAAAACTTGTAGGTGGTGAAGCAGCTGAAGGAGAAGGCGCTGAAGCGAGCAGGGATGAGCGAAGAGGAGCTGCAGCAGGTGATTGAGCAGAGAAGCGCTGCGAGGAAGAAGGAGTTTGCGGAGTCGGACCGGATGAGGGCGGAGCTGTCTGCCCGCGGCATCGCCTTGATGGATGAGCCTGCCGGGACGCTGTGGAAGCCATCTGAACCAGCAGAACTAGTTGAAGAACCGTAGGGCACGCAGCAGAGTGAGAGAGAAACCTCTGTTCGCGTAAGTAGAATGAAGGACTCTGCATGCCATGTGCACGTGGTGTGTTTACAAATACTGTTGTAGAATGAGAGAGTACACCCATAGATGTTCTCAGCTGTTGACAAGAAGAGGAAGTGGAGTTATTTGCATTGCGCATCTATATCTATAATTTAGAGTTGTCAATCATACCCTCTGGGTCGATGGTTTTGTGTGGATGACTCCGGGCATCATTGGTTAGCTCGCGAATTGCGTCGTAATGAAGGGCGGCGCGGGAGGAGGAGGAGAAGGAGGGTCCAGCACCTCACCGGTGCGTGTAATTACACCGGGAATTAGCAAGTACAATAACCATGTAGTACTGCGCCTGCCTGCCTTGCTGACTCTGCACTAAGTATACAGAGAGAGAGAGAGACGCACGCAGCTAGGCAGGACGTCGCTGTCCCGGGTTCGTGCAGGGGCGAGGTTGTGGCCACGACCCCGGAACGGCAACAAGGCGGCCGGATGGATGCTGGGCGCGTGCGTGCGTGCGTGTGGTGTGGTGTGCCTCAGGCCTGCCATTGAATGGCGTGAAGAATGAGATGGGAGGAGGAGGAGTGGGCGCTTTGAGTCGCCGCATAAGTTATGCTCACAATGCTTTGGAGATGTAAACCATGAAATGTAAAAATTTACATCTTCAAAAAAGAGGCAACTTCAACGGATGATATAAACTGATGATGTAAAAGTGCAACTCCAATAGATGATGCAAATGTAGATGTAAAACTAGTCGGCATGAGAGCCGGCGGGCGAGCGCCGAGAGCTGGGAGGAGCACCGGCGGACCGAGCGGCGGCAGGAGGTGTGCCGACGACTGAGCGACGAGAGCCGGGAGGTCGAATGACCGGCGGCGTGGTTGTGAATCGAGTGGCGAATTGGTCGCAGCGGGATGACAACCGTGTGATGCGAGAAGGTGAGTCTGGTGGCGGAAAAGCGGCAGCGGCATGGCGGTGTCGTCGGAGTCGGCCATGGCACAGGCGGCGGTCGGCAGGCGAAAGGAAAATAAAAACTGTTGGATAGTTGACACGCGGCCGTCAGTTTTACATCTCCTGTAGGTGGAGATGTATATTTGCATCTTGAGTTATTGTATTTTACATCTTCGTGAGATGAATTTTTTTCTTTATATCTACATCATCTGTTGAAGAAATATGTTTGGGTCTCAAAGATGCAACTCATCTATTGAAGGTGTTCAAAAACAAAAAACTCATCTATTGAAGATGCTCTTAGGTTGGTTACCAGCAGAGCAGAGTGGATCCACAGTATTTACTCCCGTATTGCAAAAAGGGGAAGCTCGAGGCCGTTGACCAGCACCGTCCTTGCCTCATTCACGGTTGATGAGTATAGACAGATTGCCTGCACTTTGCGACCGGACGGTACCAACATGTCAGGTACAGTTAAATGAAGTTCCTCAGGTAGCTGATGACAGCTTTCGGGTTGCTTCCTGCTGTGATCTAGGTAGGCAGATGGATCCTCGCAGGCGCAATCAAATCAATCGCACCCACAGTTGCCCATTTGGCGGGCAGGTTAATTTTGGGACTGACTTTTCCTTTCTAAGTGCAGCATCACTCCCAGACCCATTATAGTTCCATCATGTTATTTTTTTTCGAAACGGAGGCATAAGATTTGCCTCATCTATTAAATAAGGAGAGAATAGAGTTTAGAGAATTACAACACATTCACACATTCGGCATGACAGTTACTCGCCCAGAAAAATATTCTCTAATTTCTTTGCGCCCGCGGCCATCCAAAGCTTGGCCTCGTCGACGATGGCGGTGAGTAGGATGGTCGATGGTGCACTTTTATGGCGGAACACTCGTGCATTTCTTTCATTCCAAATGGTCCAAGAGACGAGCATGGTGAGGGAACCATAGCTTGCCGGTTAGGGTTGCGGTTGTCGGTTCTCTTATCCCACCACTGGTAGACGGAGTCGTCCATGAGCCACTCGGAAGTATCCATGTGCGCAAGACCTAGTTTCTCAATACGAGACTTCCATAGCCGAATCGTGTAGCGGCACTTGAAGAAAAGGTGGGCTCCTGATTCTTGCTCCCTATTGCAGAGCTTGCAAAGGCCACAATTTGGCCAACCTTGACGCTCCAAGCGATCGGCGGTCCAAATCCTATATTCCAACGCCAACCAAGCAAAAAAATTAACCTACAAGAGTCGGGAAAAGAGGCCGTAAAAACAGGTGCATATCCTTCTTGCACACTTGGCAGCAGTGATGGAGCTTAGCTCCTGACCTTACTCCCTCGACAACGTCTTCGCCGTGTCACGTCGCGAGCTTTTACGTGTTGTGTGTCTAGCATCTCGAGCCGCGGCTTGATTGCAAGACATGGTCATCACTTTCGTGGAATCTCACGTCATGACCGCACACGTATGCAGCTGCCGGGATTGTAGAAAGTGGATGCGGCAACACTAGACAACCTTGATCTGGTGGTGCTTCTCGCGTACCTGACTCAAGTTTTGCGTAAAAACCCTAGGTTTGATCCTAGTTCGTCATACCTGGCACTGACAGCCACCCTGTTTCAGGTTTTGCTTGGAGTTTGTTTGGAATTGATCTTTGGGATGAAAACCCAAGATATGGCCGTTAGTGATTGGATCCGCGACGTTGGTGAGCACGTATCGTTCCCTTTCTAAAGGCGTTGCTTTTGAAAAACCTTTTTCTTAGTCATTGTGTTGTCAAGATATGATCGATGCAGATGGTCATTGCTGCATTTTGTCAATTGTTGTTTCTATCACTTTGGTTTTCTTTTCATTTCCCCCGCCTAAGCATAGCTTCAATATTGTATGACTTAGCCCTTTATATGGTGTGATCCTTCGTATGTCTGCGCTGATGTTGGCTTTGTGTATCTTAGTTATATGGAAGCTGGGTGTATACTCATTATGTTTGAATTTCATTGATACCTCATTACAGTAGATTGCACTTTTGTGCCCCTGCACTAAAAAATTGCTCGCCCCGAGCCTCCCGGGTCGCTCCTGGGGCGACTCCAGAGGTGCCCCCAGCCGCCGCCAACAAAGCAGATTACCACCGCCAAAACCCTCGGCACCCCCGGAGGAGGTCGTCCAACGCCGGACGACATCGGCGAGCGCTCCCTGTCCCCCCCTCCCCAAACAACCTTCAGATTCGGTGGCAAGTCCCACCTCGTGGTGGCCCTAGCGGCGTCAACAGTGGCGGACACACTCGGATTGGTGTTACCCGCCATGAGAGGCCGACTTAATACCGATGCCCATCCTCACGGTCATCTGCACGCCAGGGTTGGGCTGGGAGATTGGTCCCTCTCGCGCTGGCGGCTGGCGGCATCCGATTAGATCTGGAAAAGAGCAGTCGAGCTTGTGTCCCACGACAGTCGGAGGGTCAGCTGCCTTGCCATGCACACACACACACACACACACACACACACACACACATGCGCTCACCCACACCCCCCACACACATACTCACACACGCACGCGCGGCACACATACATATTTTTGGATGGTGCATGGGAGCTCTCCCAATTTCATTAAGATAGAAAAGCAAAATCCAGTATTCCGGTTTATAAGAAAAACTAGGCTGAAAATCACAATAACCAAATCCAAGCAAAAACCAAACATTTTGTTTAAACACCCCCCTCCCCAAACAGACACTAGAGTTTGACGATAGGGACTAGAAGAATACACGCACACGACATCAAGGAACATCGTTTTAGCCGGACACAAGAGCGTCAAGGCCCAAAACTAATCAATGAAGCTCAAGAGCAACCGAACTGATTACCATACTCCCGACAATACTCATCCATAGAGAGCTTGGCCACCACCTTTGAATTCATGCATCATGAACTAATATTATATTGTGGAAGATATCCTATGGATCCCACCTTCGATTTTCCAATGCCTGTCAAAACTTTCAATGCCTCGATCACTTGCAATGAGAGGAATTGTTGTAGATGTCCATGTAGTCCTTCATCTTGAGCTCAACACCCTCTACTTTGCTCACTTTTGAAAACTCATCAAAGCCTCCAACAACCTATGCTCTGCACGCTTGCCCATCGGGATGTTGCACACATTGTTCTTCCTTTCTAGATGCCCGATGAGAGAGAGAGAGAGAGAGAGAGAGAGAGAGAGAGAGAGAGAGAGAGAGAGAGCATATTTCTCCGACTGCAAGGGTGTCGGTGTCCCAAGAAGAGCACGTGTAACGACACAAGTAACCTTACTGAGAAAATCTTGAACAAAGATTGGTGGTGCAACAACCCGAGTCACCTCAAAAACACCACTTCTCTCCTTGACCTGGGATTCAACCTCAGCGTCAGGCTTGCCAATGGCCGCCGACATGTGCTTCACAGACCCAGGTAGCTCTTCCAATTGAGCATTGAACATGCATAATGCACATCGGTGGTCGAGGAGTAGCCACCTGGTCCAGGAAACATGATCAGAGCCTCGAAGCACATGATGTGGAGAAACTCCTCGTTGATGGGACTCCAAAGTCCAACAACACATGATCACACATGGTAGAGCAGCTAGGGAGACACATCACTGCAGGTGCAACATATAGAGATGGCGACAAGACTTCATCAAGCACAGGATCCTCATGCTGTGAAACATTTATGTCTATCGACCCACACAACAAGAAGATCTTGCTCCACAAGAGCGCGAGGTGGGGTGCGTTGGTCCATAGGACGAGCCAAGCGACCACCAGTGAATGATTCCAAGAGAGCCTCAACATAGGACTGCAATCTCAGGGTGTGCTCGACCAGCATGCCACTGTCAATCTCAACATCAAGCCGCAAACGTGTGGTAGTTGTTGGCAAGGAGGGTTTCCATGGCTGGCGAGAGGATTGGCTCTCCATATTAAAATCCTTGAAGCAGCACCAACACTTGAGCAGCTTTCAGCAGGGACATGTGAAATGCTTGCGGCTAAGGCATCAAACACAACACCCAACCATCCATTTAGGTACGCGACACACTCAGCCCGCTCACTAGT